CTCTCACACACAACCTGCTACTAACGTTAAACCCCTTTCCTATTCAATTAAACACATTCAATGTTTATTTATTGTAAAAGCAATGGGGCTATTTTAATCACACTCTCTCTCTCACACACACACTTCTCCACCTCATTCTGTTTTCATTTACTCGTTCATTATCTGACCAGCTTCAATCTTGTAGGCTACTCACTTAGTTTCTTGTAGCCCTCGAAAGGGTTTTGGAGGTTGATGCCTCGGTGAATGTGAGTTGTTTGGCTTTGTTGTCCACAGCAGCAGAAAGCATTTTCAAATGTTTGAATGAATCAAAGTGGGTCGTCACCGTCGACTTTCTCTCAGACGTATGCTCCAACACACAGTTGCACGGGGTGCAGAATAGTTTCCCCCCACTTTCGTGAAAGACATCGGGGTACTGCTTTGCCCGGTCTTTAGCAGAAATGTTCGTTGTGTGAGTTCCACACGTTCACTCTACGGTGTTGTTTACCTTCTGTGATGCGCGAGCTGATGACGTCACGTCATCATCGTCACTACTTCACGTCAAAACGAGTTAACTTTTTTTTTTCTCAATTTTGTGTGGAAAAATGCAGGGATTATGCAGATTTTTGATAAATATGCAGCCTTTTAAAAATCTGCGCCATTTTGCTGATTATGCGGTAAATTCTGCGATCGCAGGATCGCGTTTTTCTGGAGGGTCTAACATATAAACAACATGAGTGAGTATCTCTGCTTTTGTGGTCTGTTAGGAAAATCTGTGGGAAACACTGTATGTCGATGTCCATAGGCTGAATCATCATGTTAATCGTTGTCACATAGCTATCATATGCCTAAAACAGTGTGTCCTCATGTTCTTCTAGGTAATCATACATCCTGTCACGTACACAGCTACGTAGGGCCTTTGTTATCATGCGCTACTCTGATATTAGAAGAGTACATTCAGTATTTTCCCAACATGGTCCAAAACCTATTCTTAACACATTGATGAGTCACACTGTTGAGCTGTAAGAACAGTTGCTTCCTTACAATGAACAAGGGTACTGTAGTTTATTTTTGAGTCAACCCACATACACTGTCCTGGTGCTACACATATTCATAGCCGCCCTGTGTATTAATCCACAGCTGAAAAAAGTCCCCAATAAATGCACTGTTTACTCCTGTTTAAATAATGTATTCTGAAAACCACAGTGCCCAGCTGTTTGGGGAAATTACATAGCCTTTTTTAAAAGATGGAACTAGACACTTGTGACCTGTTTTCTTAGATTTACCTCTGTTGTTCGGGTCATTTCATGGGATTTGTTGACACTCTATAAAACATAGAATTAAGCCACCTGTATCCTTTAAAACGGATAGGTTTATGTAATAGGTCATTGCTTTCGATCGTCCTCTTCCTGTCCTTTGTGTGGGTGCTGCGCATTTCTAAGGACGAAGATGAACACATGGGTCAGCCGTGTCACCAGGGTCACTGTCCTGTCCAACAGGCCAATAATGCATGTGACAAATGTCAGAGTACCTGGTGTTACTGTGAACCTGTATGGATTTATTGATTCCTCCTCTTTTTGTTCCTGTTTGGTTTACCGGAGCTTTCACTCAAGTTTTATGCCCACTGCGAGTCATAAATATTTCCTGAAGTCAGCAGCATCAATCGTGTTTTTTTTACAGCATCTTTCACCTCGTCCTTTTGTGTGACTAGGCCTCTGCCTTTCACTGTATTTTTTTTGTCCCTCTTGCTTCAACGCAGGCTAATCTCCCTTCATCAGCACAGCTTTGACCTGCTCTTTTACCCTCCCACACTTGGAAAGACTGTTTGTAGTAAAGATTGTAATCTAACTGCTAATCTTTATGGCTTTCTCCAGGGCAGGGCAGTGAGCCTAGCTGAATGATTTGCCAGAGATGTAGAAACTCTCTGGAGTCTAAGAAGTTCTTTCCGAGCTGAGTTTTGAAGGGAGAAGTTCGCAAACACATTCAGATGCACCAGCTGTCACTGCCGGAGTTGTCAAACGGGTATCCAAAAGGTGTGTCAGGTTGTATTTGTTTAATGGTGATGCTCATTACTTATGACTCCTCACACTGTTCCGTTTTCCTTACCATGTAGAGAGCCAATTATTTAAAAAAGCTGAGGAATGTGTGCGTGAAATCATTCCCTCCTCTCACTCTTCCTGGCTAGAAAACCAACATATAGCTGTCATAATGAGGAGCAAGCAGTGCTTTACCACCAAGCTGCCTCTCATCACAAACAGCACACAAAGAGATTTACTAATGCAGGCTGTTAACACAGCCAGTTTTATACACGGCCTGGTTTATACAGCAGTACAGCAAGCAGTCCCTGGACAGCATGCATTATACACATCTAATTAAGTCTTCACATGTCTATAATAAACCACATTATACCTTTGGGGCTAGAGGGCAGGTCAGGAGCTGGCATTGAGTTAGTGTGAGAGACAGCCAGTTGTCAGTGCGTTTGTGTGTGCGTGCTCGTGCACATGTGTGTTTGTGGAACCAAGCCTATGATAGCTATTTAACTCTCACTAATTAACCCAGAATAAATCAGGGCAGCACAGTAAATATTTGTCGTCAGGGAGGGAGTAAGGGGACGGAGATGTTCTCTGTATAGCCATCTTGCCCGCCGGAAGACGTGAAAGGACTGTGTGTTTGAGTGAGAGATGAGGACAGATTGAGGCGGAGAGACACAGAGAGGGAGATGGAGAGGGAGCAAGGCTGAGGGGCAGCCAGCCAGCTGTTGGTATAGTTTGATTGGCCTATGGAGAGCTGCCTCTGTCTTTTCATGGCACCAGTAAAGTGCAGTGCTCCCAGTGGCAGGTGGCGGCTGCCCATTGTGTACGTCCCCGGGGAGGGCAGAGGTAAAGATCATCCCTCGCTTTGCTCTTTTTTTATTAAACACCTTCATGGTTTGCCACTCAGTAGCTACCAACAAGAAAACAGAGAGGCTTTTCATACGGAATACCTAATCAGCACATAAAAGTCTGGAAAACAATTTTTAATGGTACAGCTCCAGTGTTCTTGCTTTTGCTTTATCTCACATCAAAGGCTTAGAAGAATTGATGGTACAAATCAGAGGCGCTTCAAACAGCCCACACAGATTTACACAGGTCGCTTCAAACGGGGCATAAAAGTGCCATGTACTTCCTGTCCTTCACGAGGCTGTTCAGAGTTTGGCAGTCGGAAAGATAAGGGTACAGTAAACCAAGGAAAGAGAACAGGTCTGTAAGTGCTCTGAGTGCTTTTCCCCAAGCAGCTTGACAGCCAGGTCTCGGTGACCGTGTTTGTGACAATCAGGCTACCTGACATCATCAGTTGGTTTAGTTGTTACCATGGCAACATGCGGTACAGTAACTCCTGAATAGGTGCCAGCCCCTGTCTCCTGGATCTGAGTTGATAGCCCTGATGTTTGCTCTTTGCAGTGCCAAAACATTGTATTTCCACATAGCTGGCCACACAAGATAAATCAAACTCTTTTCCCGTCCGTCTTTTTTATCTTCCACTCTTCCTCTCCTCTGTCTCTCTCCAGTGGGGTGTGATTCAACTCATGGTAAACCGTTTAGGGAGAAGGAGGGTGGAGACTAATTTAAGTCTCCCTAATACTTGAGAGTTTTTGTACCAAATGTTACTCATTTCTTTTGGCGAGGAGTTCTTGGAAGTCCTTCGTTTGTTTTTCCTGCCTTTGCCCAGTAATTAAAATATTCCGACGATCATTTTTCTTGGAGTAAGATTTTCCATTTAGGCAAAGAAAAGTATAAACTTAGTTTTGTTTTGAAAATTTGATACAAAAAATATAATTAACTGCTGGAACATTTTGTCTTCCCAACGAGGTTGCTTTTTATCTACCCCCGCCAATGAAAATCAATGGCTTTTTTGGTGTGTTGATAGTAGTCTAACATCCTTCTTTTAATAAAACCTCGGAAAATACATTGAGGAAGAACCTTCATTTTGAATGATGCCAAGGTTTGCACAATAAATGCATAAACAGCTCAAATCAATGGCAATAAAAGAAGAAAATATATAATTTGGTATATCATGTGGTGTTCTAAAAGTCTATGGAAAAGAATATTTACCGCAAAAAATAAATAAATAAATGAAGATAGCTGCTGTATCAGGGTGTGTGGCTATTATCCAGAGAAAATGAGTGTGTGGTTCACTCCTTAAACGATTCTCTTTGTTATTCAAATCCATTCATTGTACAACCTCAGCAGCATGAAGGCAGAGCAAAGAATCAGAAGTTGTCCCGTGAATTACTCAAAGGTGAGACAGACTGATGGGACAAAAGCTTTTGAAAGCCATATTGTAACACTGCTGCTCCTCGGAAAAGGTTATCTCCCTCGCCTGTCCTTGAGCGATTTAAAGCAAGTCAGCAGACATTTTTTGCAGAAGCCTATTTCTCTAGATATAGTTTTTTTTAAATAGCAAGTGGGCGAGAGCCTACCAAATGGCTGTCCATGTGTAATTAGGATTATAGTCACATTCAAATGGAGTGCTTACTTGGCTCTGTGCTTGGAGCTGTGGCAGTCAGAGCTTTCTGCTGGTGGATGTGGGTTGGCAAGAAGGGCACCGTGTCACTCTCGACCTCTCGGAGGGGCTTTGCTGTGAGCGGTGCGGTGACATGCGTCATGCTCCACCAAGTCGCGCTCTGACACTGTAATAATACCCAATTATAACGTGGACTAATTGGAATGGCGCTTTGTTTTTCTTTCGGTTATTTCAAAAAGCTGACAGCAACAACTCATGGTGGGATCGATGGCGGATTACGAGGCTCATGGAGCTGCATAGAGAGGAGGGCTCAGACTGAGGCTGCGGCTCTCATTAAAACCTGGGCCTGATCTCAACCAAGCCCTGGGAAAGGAGGGGTGAGAAAGGTAAGAAAAACCTAGACTCGAGGAAGGGAAGAAAGAACAGAGGAGCTGAAAAGGGGAGAAGAAAGAGGATATTTAAAGGAGAACTTTACTGTGCCCATTGGACATGGCCTCTGCTGGACTCTTATAAATGGGTATTGTTCCCCATGAAGCACACAGCGACTGTTTACAGTTTCCCATAAAGGAGGGCTTTATCCCTGCTCAGGGATGCATTGTGACAAGATCATTTGAATAGCCGAGGTCTTACCACAAAGCCATAAACATTTACGGGCAGTTGACATGGAGAATAAAGAATGAGCCATGTAACCTCTGCAGGATGCCGCCCGACTCCTGATGTCACGACCAACGCTCGGTCGACTTCTTGGAACTATTATCATCAACATGGTGAGAGACGGAGGGAGAAAGCTGGGTCGGGCGGAGACATAGTGAGGGGGAATGCAAACAGGTTCATAAACAGAAGAAGAAAGATAGGGGATCGCTAAAGACGTGATGCAGGTCTTTGATGTCCTCTTTGATTCGCTCCACAATGAAATGGCGGTGTCTTGTTTTTATGTTTTATCACAGGAGTCGGCCACCAGAGCAGGCCCGCGGGAGCAGCCAGACATGAGGCTGAATTCGATTAGACTGTAATCGGAGATGGACAGGCAGCGGTGCTGTCAGTGTCAGCAGGCCGAAGGGACTCCATAGGCAAACTATCCCCATGACTTTCTGTTTCTTGGCATTCATCGCAGTTGCCATTAAATGTGTTTGGATTCCGCGCTCCAATGTTCAGGGCCGGGTTTGTTTTGAATTCTCACAAGAGCGCTTTGGAGTGCGAGCAGTAATAATATCAGGTGATAAGGGAGGACTCTGAGTCATTACCAAATTACCTACCACACTGATCTTGGACAAAGTAGAAGAAGCCGGGGTCTCGGAGAGTTGCTCGTATTGTCTTGAATTTTCTTCCACTACACAAAATCATCTCTCCTCGTCTATATCCCTCTCTGCTACCCAGCCGTTTTTTTTCCCTCCTGCCTTGCTTGGCATTCTGTTCATTCTCCAAGATGTTTGCAGCGTAACCAATGATTAACAATTATGCCAGTGCATCTAATTAATGCTGGCTAATTATGAGGTTGAGATGCTGACAGGGAGCGGGGGTGCAGTGGGGCGGGTTCGGGNNTATCCTTTTTTTTATTGTTATTTATGCATTATGTTTTTTTTTTTTTTTTTTTAGGGCTAAGGGGCTAACAAAAGAGGCCGCTAAGGCTAGAAAACTTTTAGTGACTAGCCGAGGCGCTAGGGGCTAGTGCACTGCCTAGCCGTGTAGAGATTGATATTCGTTATCTACTGTACTCGTTGTTACTATTATGTAAGTTTTACAAAAATCAAGACGTTGAGACAATGCACGAGAGGGGACGGTCCTCAATGCTGGGTCTAGGTCTGTGTCTGCCATTGTGGCTGAGTCCTACTTCTCGTCTCCCCCTGCGGTCAGTCGGTTAGTCACCTGGCCTGGAGTAAATCAAGGTTTCTCGGCGACCGTAGAGTCCTCCTGGTCCCGGGAGTAGTGGAACACCTCCTTCGTCTTGCCCGTACACGCTCGAGAAAGTGGAAAAAATAAATCATTTATTTTAGTTGTACTTCTCAGTAGACTTATATGAAAATCTGTTGTCGACCACTAGGAGTTGGTGTTATTTTAATTGTCGACGTAAAGTACTTAGGTGTTTACTATGTTACGAAAAGAGACGGAGAGTTATATCAATCCAAATTCACTTAATAGTAAAAGCGACAATGGTGGAAGTAGGCTGTTCCACTTGAACACGTAAGGATTATGGGGTAGTCTTGTTGTTCGTGTTAACCCTAACTGTAAAATGCTGTTTGTGTTGTTAGAGTGTAGTTACATATTTGGTGTAAGCAATTAACCGTCGTCATTGCGTTATCTCTTGTTCATAAACTTCGTTAGTGTGGAAGGCATTATATATTGAAGTAATTTCCTTCGATCAATGTGCTTGTGTCAACATTATAAAGTAACTTTAGATTTACTACTTTTCTCAGATATTGTTCCATTTTTCTGTTCTGTAGTTTGTAGCTGCTCGTGTAGGTTATTAATTGAATTCGAGGATGTCTATCGGTATCCACTCGAAATTGTCTTCTGTTTGTTTCGGTACCCTTGTGTGTGGACACGACCGGGAGAAGTGTGGTAGAGTGTCCTCGAGTAGACGTGTGCGTCACAATCTTACGGTGGCGTAGTAGAGTTTTGCTAATCGTAGCCAAAGAATTGCAAATGTTTTGATAACTCTAATGAAAAGGATTGGATGAAATGACCATGTTCAAGTCTTAAAGTCATCCTGAGGCCTTAGTTTTGGTTTCAAATTACACAACATCATGTATGTGTTGCTTCTTTGGGGCTTGTTTTCATAGACCTGGTTGCTTATTTCTCTCAAATCTGGCAACAGAGTGGGCAGGGCGCAGTGTCTAATTGTAGCAGTAAGCTAACGAGTACTGATAAGCTTTATTTTGTTTTGATCCAATGCTGCACAACTGAACTGATCCAATGCTGCTGTGAAAAAAAGAAGCTATATCCATGTTGGATAGAATATCCAATTTAAATAAAAAAATAACCTTAAGGGACAACTTCAATGCTTTTTTTCTTTTTTTTCTCTTAATGCATTGCATAAAGATCGGATCGGGATAAATCGGTATCGGCAAATTGTCAAAATCAAATGATGGGAATCGGATCGGGAGCAAAAAAAGGTGATCGGGACATCCCTAGTTATAGGTTTAAGATGTATTGTATTGTTACTAATAAATACGCTGAAATTGATGCAGTGTCAGGTGGGTGTAGTCAGGTCTGTAGACTTTCTTCATTCCCACCTTAAATTTGTGTTTCAGTTTTGTGGATTCTGCCCTCTTGGCCTCCAGCTCAGTTTGAAATCTCTTCAGTTTGTCCAGCAAAGCCTGTCTGCGGTTACCAAGGTTCAGGATTTCCTCCTATGTGAATAAATCAAGGGAAAATTGAGTTCCTTGTTTTTTTGTTGTTTGTCAGATCTTTCCCACAGCCTTTACTGTACCTGAACTGCTTTCATGCTTTGAGTGAAATCACAATCGTTTTCTTTTTCGACACAAGCCAAACACTCCTTCATGGCCTTGTCCTTGGCTTCATCTTCTTTCAGTTTTTCCAAGATCAGCCTGGCTTTCACATCATCAGCTTTCTCTGCTTTAGTCTAGAAGACACAGAGAGGACAGTTTGCTGTTTCTTACAGGAGAAAGCAGTTATACTTAGATGATGATGGTGGATTACCATATTAACCAGGAACTCTATCTTGAATTACAGTTTTTCAGTTTGCACAATTATTTAAACTCACACTCAAAGAGCAAAACCTCAGATCAAATCTCCAAAACTCTAAACACATTTTCAGCTTTGCACCCAATATGCAATTGAAAAAGGCACTTTTTGCAAAACACTGCACACGGTTCTCTAAATAAGACACCGAAATCTGACATATTCATTTGCTTGCCATTTTCAAAACATTGCCATTAAAATGCTACACACATGAACCAATTAACAAATACACATGCCTAATGACCATAAACACCAAACTGCTGAATTGTTGACTCAGCAATCAGGATGTATCACTCGATAAAGGCTCCGCGAAAGAACTGTTGATGAGGGACTGTGGCCAGACCCAGCTAGGCGGCGAGATGCAGCCTAAGCACTTTTCTTTCCTTTAAAATAATTGGGATTTACTTCCCTGAGTGTTTTTTCTTTCCACTCTCTACGTCTAGATCGGACCGTCTACGTCTGACCACCATAATTATAACACATCATACAAATATCTTTAAAGTGGACCTATCATGCTATATTTGAATAATATATTGTAGGGCCATACCTATATAAAACATGTCTGTGAAGTTTTTTTTTCAAAATACCAAACAGATTATGCATTTTAGCCATGCCTCATTTCACTCATTTCCCTGTCTTCACAAGGGCTGATTATGTGGCAAATGAGCTGCAGCTGACCACGCACCCCTGCAAAGGAGGGGGGCGAGGCACGAGCGCCATGTTACCATGCTGTTACCATGCTGTTACCAAGCTGTTACCATGCTGTTACCATGCCACGCAACCTCTCATTCCCCTGATAGGTGGAGAGTTGCCCATATAGGCGGAGCACCCTGTTTCTGACGTCAGAACAATTTCAAATCTGTGTCAGTCTGTATCAGATCGGTTGCAGCCATACTTGCCAACCCTCCCGATTTTCGCGGGAGACTCCCAATTTCATTGCCCTCTCCCGGTTTCCTCCTGGGGTCATATTTCTCCCGCATTTCTCCCGATTTCTGACAAAATCAGATTTACTCAGGACTGTTTCCACTCTGACTTTAATACAGCTACACCATTGTTTGGTTTCCATGGTAGTACGTCTCTTTAGTAGCGCGCAACTGAAAGTCTGAGAGGGTGAGGAAGATAGTCACAGAAAACAGAACAAGAATCGACAGCTTTACCCTCTGCTCACTTCTTCCAGGTCCAGCCCACATATATGCTCCATCAAGGATGGTGCTTCAGGCCGCAAGGCAGTGCACTTACAACTACAATAAGCATCTCAAGGTTGGCAAGTATGGTTGCAGCCCCGTTTTTTAGAGATTTGGGTATGGAGGAAAAGAGAGAGGGTTTGGGATTGGGCCTCCGTCTAACTCTCTCTCATTCAATCGTCAATCACTCACTCTGGCACTCCTGCTGCCCCCTAGTTGTTGGCGGTGTCAACAGCTGCTTTGGGCGCAGCTTGGG